AGGTTTATTTCCCACAGCATTTTCTCTCTTGAACTTTAGGAGTTTTTGAGCGAGCAGTTGATTTATGTAGAGTAAATTGTTTACAAATGACATCTTTTATGCTTATTTACACTATTTACATTCTTTGGACTATTATACTCATCTTTTTTGACATATTCACAATGTTTCGGTTGTTGTACACTCTGGCCTTCTTCAGGTGACTGGAATTTCAAACTGAACCCTTTATTTTGTCCTCCACTCCCTTTAACTCAAGTTTTTGTTCACCACTGCAGTAGCCAGAACTCATAACTGTTTCGGTCAAGTCACTGGATACAACCAATGCTTTTATCTATTGGGCCATGTGTCTTTGAGTACATTGGTGTATGAATTTTTTGGGACTTATAAACTTTATGTCTCATAATCATTTTTTACCAGAGTTCATATTACAATTTTTGTTTCTGTTGTTATTGCTTTTCTCTAACACTCTTTATTATTGGTTCCTGTATTGTATTCATTTCTATGCTAGGTCAGCTTAGGAAATTTTTGTGGTCTAGCATATGTGTTGATTCCTTAAGTTTTTGTATTTTTAGTGATGTTTTCTGTCTTTATTTCAACCTCATCCCACAGGGTGTAGTGATCTCCCTCTTCCCTCCATATGTGGTAAATTATGCCTGATTTTTCTATTTCCCCCCATGTTATGACATTATGATGTTCTTGCAGTCTTATCTTATGGGGGCGGCCTGTTTCTCCTTTATACTTCTTACCACAACTGCATGGAATGGTGTACACACAGTCCCTCATCCTGTTTCCCTCATGAGGTGTGCTTACTCAGAAGAGGTGTCTGTGAAGTATTGAACCACTTTTGAAAGTCATCTTGATGTTATATAGACCACAGATCTTTTGTATTTTCTCTGATAATCCCTTCATATAGGGTAGGCAGACCAAAGCTGTTTTCTGAGTGTTTATATCTTTTTGTATCCTTCTGTCCTGGTTTGATCGAGTGTACAATGGCTGAAATGTGATAATGGCAAAAAAGATGATGACAACAGTCCAAAGAATGTAAACAGTGTAAATAATACCTCATCTCAGAAATACAGACATCTTTAATGCTGTTTAAATTGTAAATTATGTTCAAATGTCTTCACCATTACCTGGAATAAGGATGTGTAATTTTGGGATGTGCAGTAATGCGACAGTTATTGATCGAGAAAGTGTGATCAGCTTGCCAAGTTCAAATTCCATAGTCTAATCTATTACATTCAACTTTGCTTGTTAGTAGGAGGTAAAATAATATCTGAACAAATATGGAAAAAAATGGAAGAAAGTGGAAAAGCTATTTTAATGACAACACTTTGTGTGCTAGATTGGC